ACGCATATCGTCTCTGTCATTTTTACTGTAGTTTATCGTTGCCATTGTTTACTGTTCTGTCTGGAGCAGGTCTCTTGTAAATGAGTCCTTGTGGCTCAATGAAGCCAACCTGTATAAATAAAATGTTGAATAAATCATTATGTATATATTTATATTCATTCAACCTTTATTGATACAGGTTAGTCCCATTGAGCCAATAGGACTCATTTACAAGAGAGACCTGGATTTTAACAAAGAGTGATGACAACAGTGGATAACAAACTGTTTTTCAATCATAAAACAAACAAACAATAAAAAAAACTTAAATTTGTATGAATCATTTGTGAATGTCTATTGTTGTCGTTGTTATCAGTGTCTTATTATCTTGTGCTCTGGTCCAGTGTCTTCATGGACGATGTGTGTGAGGGTGATCATGTTTGGAGGTTGCTGTGTTGAAGCTCCATGGATCAGCCTCTCTGCAGCTCTCAGCACCTTCACTGAGCATTGAGGGAATCACTGAGCTGCTCTTGTTCTTCACAGTTAGAAGGTGGGAGCTCTCCTCAAATGATGATCTCCAGCATCATCTTGTTCATGCCAGGCTTTTCATCCACTGACCACAGACACCTGGAAACATCAGGGGGACCAGTAGCTGTTTAACACATCTGGAAGGAAACCAGTGAGATTTTAATATGACCATTATGATATGATGTTATGTGGGGGAGTGGTGGCGCAGAGGTTAGAAGATGGGCCTGTGATCGGAAAGTTGCAGGTTCAACTCCCGGTACCGTCAACATCAAAATGAGGTGGAAAAGGTGAAACACCCACACCTGCCTCCACCCTCATTGGCCCCACTCTGGGCCCCTGAGCAAGGCACTCAACCCCCACCATCTGCTCCTAAACAGGTCTCTCTTGAAAATGAGTTCTCTTGACTCAGTGAGACTACCTGGATAAATAAAAGCTAAATGAAAAAATTAAAGTTTAAAATAGAAATACTCACATCATGAGGCCGAGGTTGTGTGTGTGACGTGCACGTTCCTGAGAGTGTGTGTGTGACGTGCACGTTCCTGAGAGTGTGTGTGTGACGTGCTCATTCCTGAGAGTGTGTGTGTGACGTGCACGTTCCTGAGAGGCCACAGACAGAGCAGCTCCAGCTTTTGTTCAGTTCCTGTAGTCCTGCAGTTTTCAAGCTGAAATAAAAAAAACATAATGAATATGAACTTTACAGTCTCTAGTTACCTGTTCATATAAACACATGGAGGTGTCTCACCTTGTGACTGACAATAAAATATGTACATTTATGAACGTTAATGAACTTATAATGATGCACCTACTCTTTGAAGGTGAACCGATGGTACCACACCATCTCTCAGTCCGACAGTCTGATCAGTTTGATCAAAATCCTCCAGTTTAAAATCCTCACTGCTCAGAAGAATCCTCCTCAAAGATACTTCCTCCTCTTCCTCACATCTTGTTCTTTGGGAAACCTTCAAAATGAAAACAGGAGATTGGTGTCTACACAAAAACATTGTACAAAAGAGGCCAAGTTTATTTTCCATTTCCTATATTCTCCCTAGTTTTATTTTTTAATTTCCTAGAACTTAAACAAAACTCCAGTTTTGATGCATATCTGTTGATAATGAACCAAAGCTGCTGAAATTGTGAGTATGTTTGTTAGAAAAATATTCCTGTCATCAGATCTCAGTCAGCTTCATTGCAGCTGAACACCGTGTTACACTGAACATCACATCAGCTGGTGGACATAAATACAGTACAGTAATATTATATTCACAAAATACTAACAATACTATGTTCATCTTACTTGTGAAAAGTTATCCCCCGAGACCTGACGTCAACAGTCCGTTGATTAGAACAGAAATAAGCTGCGAAGTGCTGAAACATCTGCTTTAACCAAATAAGGACGACCGTTTCAAGATGGCGGTCGAAATTATGCGCTGCAGCAGCCAATGCGGATAGTGATTACATGATATCTATGGATAGATGCATGATGGGAAATCAAAGGGGGCTGCATGACGTAAGAGCGTCCGTCAACAACGCGTTGTGCGGTTCTCTGTCGCCCCCTGTTGAAACAATGGCGGAACTGCAGTGAAAACGCAGCCGGACCTGGAGACGGATTCGGTCCTGACGACCTGTAGCAACACTTCAAGTGAAGATGCCAGATGCTGAGAAGCTCCGGTCATGTTTGCTGCTTTCAGCTTTAGTTCTCCACGTCGGGGGCGCGGCGGAGGTGTCTGTGTGGAGCGTGAGCATCAACTCGGTCAGTGTTGTACCTCCAGTGTGGACATTTGCAGCTGCGCTAACCCTCAGCAGCTAACAGCTACTAGCTTACCTCCCGGTTGATGGGCCACCTGTCATGAACATTTAAGACGCCTTTAGTCGGCCTAAATGTGATTTATAATACGTTATTTTATGTTTACAACCGTGCCCTATTGCGTACTGCTGTTAGTTTTATTTTAATTCAACAAAATGGCAGTCGCTCTAAAGTAAATAAAGGTAATTCTTCATATACATCTTGTTTTACAGGAGGAGTGCGTTATTTAAATTAAAGTAGACCTCTTTGTCTGGATGTGCAGTTTATGATAAAGGTTATTTAACCCGTTATATGTTACTCAATGATAGATTAGTAGCTGTCCAAAATGTGGTTAAGGATAAAGTAAAATATTCGTTTTGACGTGGGGAAAAATACAAAGTAAACTTTCTCAGCAGTTCGAGTTACACAAAGAGGTTGGAGCATAAATAATAACTTGTGCTTGAGGCAGGTGCTTCTGAAATTGATCCTGTGGGAATTGAACTAAACGCATTGAAAGTCAACCCTCTTTTCAAATCAGGACATAATAAAAATGGTCTGGTCTTCCAGGTTTTACAATTATTCAACCCCAAATATCCAAAAGTACTGATGTCACTGTGTTGTTATTTATCACACTGTCAGGATGGACAAGCCGTGTGTGGATGAACCGAGTCCACCCTGTGATGTGGTGCTCTGCAGAACAGAATACTGTGACGCTGTGGTTTTCTGTGTCGTTTTATCCACGTCTTAACTGTGGAGCACTTCTGTCCCACTCTTCCATACAAGGTCACTTTAGTTCATCCAGGTTTGCAGACATGGATTTCTTCTGGGTTCAGCACAGGATTTCAATCGGGTTGAGGTCTGGACTTTAGCTGGACTGTTGCAGCACCTTCATTCTTTTTTTTTTCAGCCGCCCTGGTGTCAAATTGCTGCTGAGTTTGGGGTCGTTCTGTTGCATCATGACTCATTTTGGTCCAAGCTTCATCGTATGGCCTCGTTTTGCCTTCATGAGCTTTTGGTCTTCAGAGGAGCCTGCTTACTGAGGTCTAAGACGGCACACTCTGGGTTTTATTTTATATTTCTCTAAGCATTGCACAGTCTGACCTAGAGGGGAATTGTTTTGGGACTTTCCCTCCTGAGAGGACTGCCCTCTGTCTTAAATGTTCATGTTTTCACTCTCTGTATAATGACGGACTAACAGTTGATTGGAAATGACCTTTAACCCTTCCGATACTGATGGTCAGGTGCTGCTCTAAGATCATTGCTGATGTCTTTTCTACTTGGCGTTAACGCACACCTTTAAGCTCCAGAGCAGCAAACGGACTAAACTGCTTTTATAGAGGTGCTCACGATGGTGTTGCAGGGGTGGGCAATGTTTTTTTTCCACATGAGAAACGGAAAATATTGTGGAGGGCCGGCCCAAACGACTTACTGGTAACTCAATTCTGCATAATAGTACTAATATTTCTTTATTACAAACAGTAAATTTAATTGATTTGACAAGCTGGTAAGATTGATGAGAGTGTTTATGGTTAAGTAACGCAAAAGTGAAGTTGCCTTACAAAAAAAAAAAAGCCATTCATTCAATAAAATTTCCCAGTTCGATGGTAGTAACCTGTAAATGTTTTTACCATTTGTGACTCGTTATATTAGTGATCATTTTCAGTCACATTCACCCCAAAACACATTTTGAGTTTCATATACTGTTGGGAAGAGGTTCTTAGCTTTCTAAAGACATCACAGTATTGTCCTTGTACTCCAAATATTAAGCTACTCCAAATATTAAGCAATATAAATCATATAATAGTGATTGTCAATGAGCTAGTTGGTGCCTACATTTGTAGTCTAACCACGTCACTTGGTGTTTTTCAGTTGTTTTTTCTTGATTAGTGAGATAAATCTAGTCTCTGTTGGGCTTTAACAAGAACATTAAAGTCAGCTTGGATGTCTCAGGTGGATCAGCTGACAGAAGATCATTATTGAGAGAGGATCTATATCTGGATTGGTCAACTTCATCGCTGAGAATGTTCCCATATGTAGGTAGAGCCCAAGACAACCTACATCTTCATATCACGAAGCTAGTCCTGTTTGCTGCATCCCTGGATGTGTGAGGCTTGTTAAAAAAAAAAGCCTTGCTGCATTTGTAGCTTAGCAAAGCTTCAGATGACCGCGCCCTTTCAGCATCTGTCAAGTTTTTGTATTTCTCTGCATGTTTCGTCTCATCATGCCGACTCAAACTGTAAACCTGAAGCCCAGAGATCTGCTCTCCTCAAACTAAACGCACAGCTAGTTACCCCTGACTCCAGTAAATATTTAGCCGTCCATATTTTGTTGAAAACCCTGCACTCGGCATCTACTTCTCTTTTTGAGCACGAGTGGACTTTTTTTTTTTTAAGGGCTAACGTCGTCTTGTGATGGACTCGTGACAACGGTTCAATCATGCGCATTGCACACGTCTTGATTTACGCATTGCGTCGTTTTGTACGTGAATTACAAAAAAAAACTTCAAAACGCATGAGGTAAAATTAGAAAATGTTTATTTTGTAACTCCCTTTCATACGGGCCAGTCAGAGTCAACCAAACCACTGATATGTGATCCACTGCTCTACTGGTGTAGAGGTAGCGCAGCTGACTTGGGACCACAAAGTTGCAGGTTCAACCCCTCGCCAAGCCCACATGTCGTGTCCTTGAGCAAGACACCAAATCCCTAACTGCTCCCCGGGCGCTTGCATAACTGTCCACTGCTCCACCTGGGTGCATCTCAGGTGGGCGTCTGTGGCCGGGTGGTTAGAGCAGTCGTCCTCCAGTGCAAGAGTTGGGGGTTTGAATCCACCAGCAGTCACATGCCGAAGTGTCCCTGGGCAAGACACTGAACCCCTCACTGCCTCCGATGTGTGTCCCATCGGTGCATGAATGTGATAAAGCTCTGATTAGTCTCTTTTAGAATGATTTGTTCAATGAGCTTTGTAGAGATCTAGTGGAGGTAAATGAGGCACAGATTGTTGTAAAGGGCTTTGAGTTGATAAGACAGAAAGGTGCTGCTTTGTAAGAACAGTCCATTTATATTTAAATGCAGAGAGCTACATGTTTTCATTGTATGGGATCATACAATGATGGCAACACACAGAACTTTACTGATCATGATCAGTTAATCAATATATTGGATCAGCAGCACCTGACTGCTTCTGAAACTCTGGACTTTATTTTTCACACACAGCTTTTCACTTCGGTTTTGTTTTTAATAGTAAATGCGAACACGATGCAGTCATTTGTGCGTTTTTGTACACTTGAGTTTAAATTTCAGTACTTTGAGGACCTGGTAAAGACCAGATCGTTTGTATTATGTCCTGATACAGAAGACCCTCTGTTTTCTCATCGGTTAAAAATGTTCAGTGACTGTAAGGGATATGTACAGATGTTTGCTGACAGATGTTTGCTGTGTTCATCTTGACAATGTGGGCAGTAGCTCAATATAGAAGGCATCTTTTATTGTATGAATTTTTAGGGCTATGTCTGCATCATTTGCTTCATTTTTAAAGTATTTCTGTTGCATGATGTTAAAATAAAATTGATGTACCCTAATACATACTGTTGTTGTTTCATTCATTGAAAATGTGAGAATCAGGAACGAGTCCTGATGACTGTTTCTTTCTCTGCTGTGTTTTCAGACACAAGATGCAGTGTTTCGAAAGACGCTGTACGCCAACACCACTGTATTTATGAGGTGTAAGTAGTGTTTGTTCAAGTGTAATACATGGTAATATTCTGAAATGTAATCTTTAACATGCAGAGCACATTTCTTTGCTTCCAGTGAGAAACACCTTTTTATAGTTTTTGTCTTGAACAAAGTATTCTGAAGACTCCCCTTACTAGTTCAGTGTGTTATTAGTTTAAAACTGTGGCATTTTACAGCCCAATAACTCAATGTGCCACCCTCTGAGAAACTATCCGTCTCCTCTTTGTGTAGTTCAGAACGATTTGGGGACATGTGACAGGAACCTGGCCTTTAACATCAGCTGGTACCTGCGCTCCTCTGTTTGTTACAATGAGGTCTTCAATACCCCCGTGAGTATTACATCTGTATGTTGATGTCTGTGTGTAAAATGTTTGGAGTCAACGCTCTGTTAGCAAAATATATCAATGGATAAATGTCAATTCAATGTTTAGGATATAATTATTAGATGTACATGTACAACTCAGTGTGTGACAACATGAAAAATGGCGTTAACATAGATCTAAAACGAATAACAAAAATCAAATGTTACTGATGTTCATTATATCACTTCATCTATCAAAGAGGAAAACGTTTGAACACCAAGCTTTGCCTTTTAGTCTATTTATAATGTATTCCTGAAATTAAATCTAAAATCATTCCATTGAGAAATTACAATAGTTTTTAAAAAAGTCACAGCTTGTTAAGAAAATTGGATCCAGGTAACTGAAATAAATAATATATTTTCTTTGTGTTTTTCTGAAGGACAACAAAGCGATGAACATGTTTGGCATGGACCACATGTTGAAAGACGGATGGAGTGGCTTCTACAGTCACGGCTACGTGTACTTCGAAAACTGCTCCGCCCTCTTTATGCCAAAGGTCATGAATGTCTCAAACACAATTTCTCACAATGGACCTTTTGTAGTATTTATATTAGAGCCCGACCGATATGGAAATTTTGGCTATCGCCGATAACCGATATAATGGCTGAACATTTTAGAGCTTTGTCCTCCCCCAAGAAGACAGTGAGTGGAGCGGGGCTTGTTTATTTAGTGCAGCTGTTAGCAGCTACGAAGCCAAGCAAATCAGATCCATGCTATACTTGGTGCCACAGTGGGTTTACAGGTGGTGCACTGGTCATAAAAACAGTCTTCCTAACGGGCATTCACATTTTCTATTCAGCATAAAATTATTGTGCGTTACAAAAATATAAGCAGAGAAACGCCTTCCCTGTTCATGCATTGTGAACGTCTAATTAGTATTGACCACAGCGGCAACGGTTTTTCCTTGCAGAGGATATTTCAGACAAACGATGCATTTCATTGAGGATGACAAAGATAACGTTACTAATACTGGATGTCCTCGCAAACTGGAAGCTCAGTCCAACAGGACTGGTTGCTGTAACTGCTTACAATGGGGCTAATGTTGTGAAGGCGGTGCAACTGAGCACGAATGTTAGCTTGCTAACTTGAGAGACAAGTAGGTAGGGCTGGGCGATAGCTCAAAATTAAAAAATATCAAGATTATTTCATTTACGATATAAGATGAGACTATATTGATATAAATGATATACGTAGTGTTATACTTGAAAATCCGCCTGCTGTCTTCTCTTTCCCCCACATGGCCCCTCCTTTCCCTCTCAGCCTAGCCCCCACCCGCTTCCTGCCTCTCCAGATGGAGCGGCACCGCCACAATAATGCCCCTTTTCCATCAGTAACGGTACAGCACGGTTCGACTCGACTCTGCACGGTTCCAAGGCTTTTTCACTAGTAACGGTTCGTAGAACTGGCCCCTTTATTCAGAACCCTTTCTCTGGGGTTCCCAGCGAGCCGACCCGGCACCAAAACGTGACGTCAGAACACTGTTGGTCACTGATTGATCAGGGGGTGGAGTCACTAGGGATTTAAGAAATTTTCACAACACCTGATCCGCCATTTGCAATTACCGGTGTTCGAATTCGCAGAGCGACCCTCAAACATGTTTAAAGAAGAGCCATGGCCTTTAGTTCAACTTTATTCTAACCCACAGGTGTACAAATCACAAAACAAGAATTAAACTTTAAAGCAAAGCTAAAATTAAAAAAAAATCTGTAAACAAGAAACAAAACCACATCTAACTGAACAATAAAAGAAGACACGAGTGCAAATACATTAAATGATGAAGAAAACCTATAAAATTTTAAATATAGATGTTTTTGTAGCATCTGGATCATCAGAGATTTAATGGTGAACTAAAGTTCATTAAAAGTTCATTAGCAGGATGTATATGTATATATATATATATAT